GGCACAAGCCGTCTTTCAATCAGAAAAGTTAATCGGTGCGTGAAATAGGGGATAAAAGTGTATGTAAGAGCCAATACTTATTACGATTTAGTTTCTATAGCAGGTACCTATTAGGCAGGTACTCCCAGATATTTGGTAGACTGATAAGGCTCCCGATATGTCAGGACTAGATTTAGTTCTCTACTCATCGTATGAACGAATATATTAATAGGCCCAATTTCTTAAACATGTCAAACCCTTAGTACCTTCCGTTAAATATCTATTCTATAGATAACCCATGCACATAAAATATTGCATAGGTTATCTTTTTCACGATAACATCAGATTTTTTTGTGTCTATATATGTATATCAATAATATGGATTTATAACATAAAAAAATCGTATAAAAATAAAAAACTAGATTGCCAGGCCAGGTCATACACAAGAAAATCATATGTTATCAGAATCTGAAAGTATAAACTTATAAGGACTAGTTATTTATATATTGCGATGTGTGACTGTATGTCCGCTTGTTCCATTTTCACGGCTATGACTTGAACTTGGTCAGATGTCGATTTCATTTTTTGCCTACTTATATTCTATGATTATCTTCGACAAGTAGTCACAATTATTTTATGCACCATGACTTCTCACTGTAAGTTATTTCCGAGGCATGTAATTATTAATTTACATATGGTAAGAAGAAACAGGTTGTAACTATGAAACTGGTTTGTTTTTTAATAAGACTAGGTGTTATCTTGGAATATTAAGTTAGAAGTACAAAACTAAGATGAGTAATGAAGTATTAAATATATATATGTTAATGAATAAATTTATTTTTTGTGTCAAGAATTAGGAGCATCGGTAAGTACCTATGTAATAAAAATATTCACAATGGTACAGAGTAGTTTGGAAAATATAAAATCATAGCATGAAAATGCGAGATATTTACTATTACTACTTAGTAGTAGTGAATATATGAAATTATATTTGATACTTATCTATAATATAAAGTACTACCTACTTGAAGCCGCATATTCTGTTTTGCATATTGTGTAGATCTCCTATCTTGATAGAAACGATGATCTCATGGCGCATTAATTCAACACGATATCTTCATAGATTTGGTTTTTATAAATAGGGATTACACTATTTATTTGCTTAACACAAAATAACTTTTTTAATCTAAAACATATTTATGTACGAGAAATTAAACAGTAAAAAATATAAATATGAACACTAGTGTATACCTATGTAAATATTTAGAAGAAATCAAGCTTTTTATTTAGTCATACCTTAGCTTCATGTATTCAGTATTGTACAAAATATGTATTATAATTTACAAAAAAATGTGACGCACTATTCAACTGAGTTGTAAGAGTTTACCTTTTAGCTATCTGATATTTAACTAGATATTAACCCCAAATATAAAGTTTAAGATCGACGTAACTATTGTTGGTGGCTGCCACTACTACAGCACTCCAGGCTGTACGATGGGCACAATGCATATAGTTTTGAACTCTAGTCTCGATATGTCATGTCTCATCATCTGCTTATCACGACGTCAGGGTCAGCGTAATGCGTTTTTCTCTTCCATTTATGCTGCCATCTCGTTTCTCACTCCCTTTCTTAAAATGTCGAGATCTACGAATTCATTATAACTTAAGTTTAATAATTTTCAATTTTTATAACTTAGTATATAACTTATGTTTTTAAGAAAGGCAGTAAATTTTGATACCTATTTTTATGAAAAAGGGGGTAAATATCTCAGAACGGATCCGGGTCTTAGAGTGGTCTCGTCTTGGTTACACTTGTACGTGTATATCGCCAGTCTATAATTTAAGAATTATCAGCGTACACAGGACCGGTTCTGGTCAAGTTCATGGCAGGTTGTGACCCACATATGGGAACTTTCTTTGGATCGTAAAAAATTCGTCCCACACACAAGATGACAGATTCGGTGGACGAATATTTATCATTGTCGGATGTCGCATGCCTATTCTCTTTTGTCAAGATAAATATGATGGCCGGGGTGGACATTTTTTAAACTTGTAAATTTTCAGGTGAAAGGTATTTCAGAGAATTTGTCTGTTACTTTTTTATTTGTTACCTTTGCTAATGTCTAACTAACTGCAAAATATAGCAAATTCGATTCGTATTCGATTGTACCTTATTTGTTTAAACATATGCGATTTTTAATACCTACATATGACGGACTTTTGAGTTTTGACATCTTCTGGATTTTGATCTCCAAATCATTTGGCCTTTGACATTGTTGTCTTTTATCGTAATGCCTTACGAAACATTCCATTATTCTGCAGTTCACATTTATATCAAAGCTCTAAGTTGATCACAATTATAGTAAAGGTGGTATTCAGATTCACTTTATTATAAAATCTGAAATAATACGTCCAATGAGATGCCAAAGTATTGACTAACAGAGGTGACAAAAGCATAGCTATGTTTGTAACTTAAAACAGACCTACCCTCTTATCCAATACTGATGCCCTGCGCGATAAATCACTGCATCAGGCTAACACATCATTCCATCACCGTCCACAAACGAAAAAAAGATCATCCACTTATAGGAACAACACCAGTACCTATCCTAGTAGTAGTGGAACCTTAATGGATTATTGTGATGTTAATGACGTGACTTAATGTGACAGTTTTTATGGTGAAACGCAATAAATATATGTAATTATAGTGATGTTATTATATTAACAGATCTTCCTGTTTTGAACTTGTTTCGAGAAGTTGACAACTTTCCACTAGCGTAGAATGTTGATTCAGACAATAATAGTGTGCTCAGAACTTTTAGCTTTAATGTATTCAAATTTCTATTACACTGAGGATTTATGGATAATGCTTGCTACACACATATTACTACTTATTAACAGTTCCAGTGGCTACATTGTTTTCAGTGCTTTTGATGTCTACCTAGTTTCGTTTCTATTTACACGACTGCCTAAAAAGGAGTGTACTGTTTTTAACGTTTTGTTTCTAAGTAGGTACGTTAGTTTCTTTAGGTGACCGTTTATAACAGTAAAGAACTTAATATTGTTGCAGAATTGAATGAATGTGCTGTTATATGGTACTTTATTTGGTAGGTTATAGGAAATACTTCTGGGTTTTGTGTGTTAGTTGAGAAAGGGTCTAATATACCTACGTTGCGAAAGTATTTATTTATTATTATTATATGGATATTTTTATTTACTCAAATGTTTTAAATGAAATGAAAAAAAAAATACCAAATGAATAAGTAACTTATAATGTTACTAAGATAAAGTCGCGTTCGACATTAACTACGCATTAACAAACGCGAACATAATAAAACCCACATAAGTGCGTGAAGACGTATATAAAAAATAACTTGAATAACCTTGAATTTCATTGAGGTCCTCATTAGGCTTTCCACAGATTTGAGTCTAGAATTCAAAACGGAAGAAGGAAGTCTAAAATAATGACCTGAAACATTTCATACCATTTATAATTAGTTACATAAATTGAAATTACGTGTCTATTCAGCGTAACAAGGTAATTAGTACCGTTGTTTTATTTCTCATTGGGTATAAATTACGTCTCACATTAATTTATCAATATCTAAAAGTATGTTTTTCACATATGTTTTCACTTCCCTATAAGATATGACGTCTAGCTTAAGTAACTAAAGTGCAACAGTTTCTGCCTCAATCTTGCAAGTACTTTAATTCTTTCTTCATTTACTGCAAGACATTTTTATGTCTTAAGAGATTTTAAGAGATTATTTATATTTAAGAGATTTATCTCTTCCATTGTATATTATGTTTCTATATTTTGGTCTCTGTTTAATCAACTTGGACAAAGTTTGGCCTATATCTTACTTTAAATCTTTTCACCTTTATTAGATCCGTCAAGAAATCTGTCCGTCCTAACCATCAATCGTACACTACGAAATAATTTTGAAGTGGAGGCAACAGACTAGATACTATACAAGATAATTTTCACTTATACATTTTCTTTCTAAAAACATGTTTCTAGTGAGATTGTGCGTAATGGTCACTTAAAACACGAAAGTTTCATTTATAACTAATTGGATTTTTTTATAGGAAATGAACTATCCCCTCGAGCGTTTTTAGCCAGTGCATGACAGATTACTATTGCTTTAACTGAAAGTACAAAACAACGAGTACTCCAATGCTTCGAAGCGGGCAGTGTATTAGATAAATTACTATTTAATTTTGACAAATGCCTTGTGCATTTCTAGGGCATCTATAATTATTGATATATAATTTTATTGTGGTTAGGTGTCCATCTCAAGAACTATTCAGCTTGTAAGGTGTGTTGAGATGTTTTGGTGGATAGATGGATCGTAGAGAGGTGTGTGACTGCCGGCCGAATATCGAGGCCGCTCCGCGGGATGTCGGCGGTTATGTACCGATTGAGTCGATTTGATACTTGATACAGATATTATTATTTTGGAATGCTTATGTAATTAACTTTTTTTATTGTTTTGTTATGCTAGTTTTAGTTAGTTTTATACTTATTGTTTGTTCTTTTGTAACGTTCCAAAGTATAAACGCTATATAGAAATTCAATACATTAAATTTAATATTATTATTGCTTGTTTAGTTGAACGCATAGATCTATGTTATCTATATTATTTAAATTAAATACAAGTCGTTTATGTATACTTTTTTATTTAAATGTATATATTTATTTAGTATACCAAATTTTATGCTTAACAGTATATAGAAAATAGATATAAATATTAAATACTCTGTAGGCATATGCTGTATATTTTTGAGATACTGCACTAAATAAATAAAGGTATTTTTTAATTTAGAGCAAGTAAGATATAAAAATGCAATTATATTTTTTGCAATTGAAGTTTTGAGTAATAATATAGGATGATGGAAATGACGTTTCTTGCAATGATTAAGATCTGTTAACCGGCCGTCTCCGTACCAAAGGTGAGCTCTGCGCTGCGCGAGCGCAGCGAGTGACGTGTCTTCAATTCTCTTCCTTCAGTGAACCGCGAACTGCGACGCAGGTATAACGTATACTGCTGCTGTGAATAAATAAACCATTTAAAAGTAATTGCTAATTGGTGTTGGTAATTGAACATAGTGTGAGATCAAACGCGTTAATAAAAACTAAATTGATACTCTTAAGAACGTCAGTTTATAAGCTTCCAAAAGTTTTTAACGCAAGGACAGTGCTATGAAAGTTTCGTTGCAGGTCAAATAAAGTGGTTATTATTCTTGGTAAAATTTGCTAATTCCGGAATTGTTTGGTGTTTATAACGCAGATTACTAAAGTAAGTGGTATATAAACTTTGAATTGTTTTAAATTTCATTAATACTATTAGTAGTTTCGTAGGGAATCTTTTCTAAATTATTGTAGAACTTATACAGATGCATCGGCCAGTGCATTCGTAGTCAGACGTTTCTAAATGTAACTTGTATAGCGAATTATGGCGACCCTTAGTTGCCTACAGATTTCCGATTTCGATTCCGATTAAAATATTACATTAAGTAACTAATAACAAGAACATTAAGAATCTATCAGCATTCTAATGAACTGCGCCTTTGAAAGATTTGTTATGACACAGTTAAATAGAAAGTTACAAAAATATTGGTACCTATAGTCAGCCAATATGCATATTATATTACCGCAAAAACAAGAATTTGCGGAAGTAAGGCCAGTTGCGTTAGTAGTTTAGATTTGCGTTCGTAGATTCGATTCCAGCGAAACAAATGTAGGTACCAACCAGTTTCCGATATTTGTAGGTACGTGCAATCATTAAATAAAATTCCACTGCAAGACACGGGTTTCATTTGAAAAGAGACTACTACCACATTGGCCATGTGGTTTGGTATACGGTTGTATCTGGAATGTTTCTTATATTGCTGTTGTATTATGTATTTCGTTTCTCTAGTAGTTATTTACGATATCTTGGAAAAATTTTTAAAAAATAGGATTGCTCCGAGAGGAATTTGCTTCGAATCTCATACTCACATAAAATTATATAAAAATATTCGTCTACCGACATCGGATATGTTCTAAGAAATTACCTAACATACTTTCCAATACACTGTGTAATACTATAAGTGAGTAGGTAACTAATTCTATCAGGTACTGTGATAAGTAAATGCTTAACTAACTTTAAATTTGATAATTTTTTTGTGGGTTGTTAAATTTTAACTACTCGGTTATTTACGAGAAGCTTCACGACAGGCCCCGACGAGATTTTGTAACCAGACTATAAGAAGAATATTCCTCAAGTTACTAACCTGTTCAAATTTGGCGATTTCTGCACCTGCATTATAACGTGGTCAACGGAACTGCACAATCAACCACAACATGTCTTATCTTTATTTTAGAAGTCTATAAACCATCTTTTGTGTTCTACAATCGCTAAGGTAAAACATATGTGTCATATATATATACGTGTTAATGATAAGGCTGGATAGCATGAGCCTAATCCACCTCTTGAAATATCGACTCGGAAGGAATATACAATAACGCGGGAATGATTTATGATTCCCAACACTATAGTAAGACGTTTCTTATTAAACCAGTGAGAAATTTACCTATTTCAATTTTTCATAACAGTTTATTTGAAATATAGTAATTGGTAATTGGGCATAATAGTAAAAAAAATTAAAATTTCTGTTCCATCTGTAGATAACGATTGATGGGTTAGTCTACGGTTACTACTTACTATTAGTTGAGTTGTAAACTTGTTTGCCATTCTAATTACATAAAAATAATTCATATGTCTAATCCCACGCTAAACAGAGTTCGTGTTGTGGGTAACTCATAGAAATTCTTAAATATTGACTTATTTTTGTACATAAACACTCAGAGCAATACAATCATATACATGAATACAAATGTTTATACCATGAGAGATAGCGAATCTGTGACCCTCGGAAGTAACCCGGAGTGCTAAACCGTTAGACCCTATGGTCTATCTAGGCCGTCATAGTCTATTCTAAATTAAAAATATAAAGTCAAGAATACGGTACGAAATAAACTTGAATCAGAATACAAGAACTTTGAGAGTTTAATTAAAGTATTACAAAGTATCTGTGGCTGGTATTGTTGTATCCTTTAGTTGCCTATAAGTTATAAATAAGTTAACAAAGGAAAAATTACAAGCTTGTTGCCTAAGACCGTTGACAAAGTGCCGCCGCGCTCCAACTGTGAAATCGTATTAAGTGAATGTCATTTTAGCAATGTGATTTGTAGGGTTCAAAAGAATTTCAATAACTTGTTGATACAGAATTAATTCTTAATTGCAACTGTCTGTTTGTACATATACAGCATTTTTTAATTGTAAGTAAATAAATAAATACCACAATCTATTTGATCCGGTTCTCAGGATAGGTTAGTCCGAGTTATTCAGAAGTCTTATGAAATCATGCTGTACTATAGTTTCACATATAATCATAATAATGTAAAGTGGTACAACTATTATTTAAAAGAATAAGAAACCAGATCTGGTAAAAGATGCACAGATTTTGTTTTTTTATTATCACAAAATTTATGTATTATTTGTAAATAAGTTAAATTTTTGTTAAGGAAATATAGTCAACAGACTATATTAATTTTGACATTTATGTTTATATTATATCTTAGCACAAGTCACGTCCAATCTCTTGCTTTGTACACAATTACAATGTTAGCAATACAGTCTATTGCTATGTATAATATTTGTAAACAAGTCTACCTACAATACATGCCGCACTATAAAAATGTCAAAACAAGAAATATGATAGATACCAATGGTTCTTTGTTTAATTGTGTTGACAAACAAAGCAATATTGACATTGGCATGTTATTAAACGTAACAGTCCATAAAGCGACGTAAAAAATATTAAGTATAACTCACTAAGATATATAAAACATTTTCTTATTTATATATTCATATGCCTATATTTGTTTTAATATATTTAGTACAGTATCTTTTTTATATATTTATTATAATATATGTAGAATTGTTCATATATTAACCTTTTCTTATTAAATATATTACCTGTACATAGTAATATTATATTTATATTTAACTCTTGCACTACCATTATCCGTTAAATACTTCTACCAGTGGCACTCAATGAGGAAGTAGCCATTATTATTGCTAAAAGTTGCATATAGATGGCGTGATTGGTATCGATGGAATTCTTCATAGTTTTGCAAACGTTTTAAAAAACAGAACTGTGTTTTCAAAAATGTTTAATCAATTTTTAAAAAGTTATATATACATGTTAAAATGAAATAATGCGTTTAGAAAAGTAATTTTCATATATTTACTCATTTTGTTATTTTCCAGTACTTAATTACACTTTAATCAGTGCTAATATGGGGCTCAATGTTTTCAAAATGCTTTCATAGATGGCATTGTCGTCATTTGTATCGGCCTAATTAAATGTCTTTTTTATATTTTCCAATAATAAGCACTTAATATATTATTATTGTAAATTAAACATATAAAAATTTTTTAAGTAAATTAAAAATAGCCGAACAAGCAAGTAATACTATTTCCAATAATACTTACGTATGAAGTGTTGTCATATTAAAAATAAATACATGTATTATCGATTTTTTTGAATAATCGATAACAGGATTTTATTACAACGCATTATTCGATGATGCTTTTAATGAGTCGTTGTGAACAGTAAATTTTCATTATTATGTATTATAGCAGTGTTCCGTTTCAAAGAACGGAATATAGTAGTACATTATTAGTGTCGTTGGTTATTTACATTTGTACTGAATAATCGATTACATAATAATTTAAAATATCGAGTACGAATCGTAGCTGTCTTCGAATACTGGCAACTGGTAAGATTAAAATAGTATTTAAAAAAAGAGATAAATCGACCCTAACTCGAATACCATAAAGTTGATTTTCCTTTCTCATTAATATATCATAGCAGTTTGTTTTTAACTTGCGTATGACTCTGTGGTATGATGCTTAACGTGTATTGTTATTGTACGGTGCATACATTTCAAAAATTATATTTTAATGTAGGTACATACATTTCATACATGTCAAAAATTATCTTTTAATGTAGGTACACACATTTCTTTCATACATTTCATACATGTCAAAAATTATCTTTTAATGTAGGTACATACATTTCTTTCATACATTTCATACATTTCAAAAATGAACTTTTTATGTAGGTACATACATTTCATACATGTCAAAAATTATCTTCTAATGTAGGTACATACATACATTTATTTCATACATTTCATACATTTCAAAAATGAACTTTTTATGTAGGTACATACATTTCTTTCATACATCTCATACATTTCAAAAATTATATTTTAATGTAGGTACATACATTTCATACATGTCAAAAATTATCTTTTAATGTAGGTACATACATTTCATACATTTCAAAAAGTATCTTTTAATGTAGGTACATAACACCCCATGTCAGACCCCTTGTATTTGGAAGAAACTTAAAAATAATGCCAAAAATATTAGATGAATATATTTTTAATACGAATATTGTTTTATTTTTGTTCATCAACTTCATCCCGCACTAACAATACTAGTAGTAGTACATAACCTGGTTTATACCGCTAAAGATATTGAAAGATATACGAGTAATTCAGAATGTTATCAAGTTCAAAATAAGCACACATTACTTGCTTTAGATAACAGAGTAATATTACTCGTAATAAAAACATTTGTAACACCCATATGTATACTACGTATGTATAGTAAGTACTTACGCTGCGGCGCCGTGAGGCTCGTCTACCTCATCTACTAACCAATAGGAGCGCGCCTCTCGTGTTTCCAGAAAGTTCGCGACTAACGGACGATATAGTAGTAAGGCAATGAGTGTCCCAGTGACATCATTATAATATTTTCTCGTTAAATTTTATTGTAATATACACAATTTCGCACTAAATAACGTGTTACCCCGTTACACATTTCTAATAATGAAAAACCTAGACCGACACTGTTCACTTAATCTTACAAGATCTGACTTTAAAAATTACGATATCCTCATATAGCCTTTCATTTCCCCTTTCAATACTTTTTCGCATTAAAAAGTAGCCTTTCTCAGGGTCTACATTATCTGTCTACCAAATTTCAATTAAATCAGTTCAGTAGTTTTGGCGTAGTAGACTAAGTTACTTTAGCATTTATAATATTTGTAAGAATATCGCTATTAAAAATAGGGGTTGGTGAAAGACGGGTGAAAATTTAGGCGTGTATGTATTTTCAATGTAACATTATAAATAAATAAAAAATTGTCCATAATACAAAAAAATATTTTTTCGGGGTAG